AGAAAGCAAGAAAAGAGCTGCTGAACAAGCTAGTGGAGCTGAGGAACGCACGATCGAAGACTAGAAAAGAGAAATGTGAGGACAGCTCTACTCTGAAACAAAAAACTGTGGATAAAATGGTTGATGATATAAAAAGGGATAAGGTTGGGACTAGTAATATGATTAAAAGTACTAATATCCTTAAGGCTCGAGCAGGGGGGAGGCAAGAGTTGGAAGGAGTGGATGGAGAGGTCGAATCAATGATGATAGCCACAACACTCTCGAGCAGAGATGTGAAGACTCGCAAGAGGAAGAGAGAAGTGGAAGGATGGGGTAGTCCTTCAGTGGATGCTGTTTTGGAAGGAAACTTGAGAGAGACGGCGCCCATCGTTTTGGCCCGATGCAAGACGGCGGCATACAAGAACAGCTCGGAGCTCAGGAAACCACTTGAAGTAGAAAAGGAAATAGAGGTTTCCGCCAGTTCGACGTCAGAAGAAGACTTCAAGCCTCAGAAGGTAAACGTGAAGAGAGGTTCAACGAACGGACAGGTAGGGGAAGTGGAGATCGGCAAAGAATGGATCTCGAAGGCACATCAGGACATGGGCAAGCAAGTGACGAGTGATCCATTGGAGAGGAACAAGACGAGGAACACTTCCCGGACGTGGTGGGTGGCCCTCGAAACATTGAAGGAAATGGAGGACTGCTTGAAGAAGTTGGACAGTGGAATAGCTCGCAAGCGACGCAATTGGGCCACCCAGCAAAAAGCCGAGGTTAATAAGATAGAGATGGCAAGTCATCTGAAGAGGTCCTGGCAGAGTTTGTTGAAGGATCATTTTGAAGAGGCGATGAGGACATCCTCATCAGCACCGCCACTAATGGCGAATCCCTTCGTTAGAACTGCGGGACAATTAATGTTCACCTGGAGTCTGGTGGGAATAGAGTTGGAGACATTGACCTCGTATGACAGGCTGAAGTTGGGAAGCAAGAAGCTAGAGGTGTATCAGGCACTGATGCAACACGTGGCCAGGGACAATTCAGGCTTGAGCCTGGCTAGAAGAAAAGATGCCACATGTTTCTTGAGATGGACAATGTCAATGATGTCTGATAGCACCATCCTGGCATGCCACCAGAGAGCAAGTGGAAGTAAAACCATGGAGAGAAGAGTCTCAACGATCATCTTGAACGTATATCAGAGTACAGGAATAGAGAAAGAAGATGGTTCCAGACTATCCTTAGAGAACCATCGAAAGCTGGACGAGGTACGGAGGTTCTCTAATAAGAAGTTCGAGGAAGAACATGATGTTCACCGTAACCTGGCCTCGTCAGAACAGTACTCGAGACTCAGTGAGAAGGGGGAATACCAATATGTGTCTGGAGTGATGGGAATAGCCTACAATCCCTTCTTGGACTCGGAAGCTGGAGGAGCCCACAGAAACCATGAGGTAGCGGAGCTACTGAAGTTTTAGACAGAAAGAATAATGGAAATAGACGCGGTGGAAAAAGAGGGGCCGAGCCTGGGCCTGATTCTTGAGAAAACACCAGAGGTTATAAGCATACCGCGCTCAAACAAGAGAGTTGAAGTGAACATGGGCGGTGGAAATGGCTTGTTAACCACGAACTTGGGAGTGATATGGAAGCTACTAAGACCCTCCTGGTGTCCACATCCCCATGCAAGTCTAATCGAGGAAACCACAGAGCGAGTGAGGTTAGCACCAACGGAAGATGAAGATCTGGCGAAGTTGAGTGTGCTACATAAGCTAATCACGCCCCAGATGCAAGAGCCAAGCGAAAGGACGAGCGACCCCGGGTCAGCAAAGAAATTGGAGCCGGGTAGCTGTCTGGATTCGACGTGTGGGAACGGAGAGCACATCTGCGATGGACGGTCATGCGTCAGAATATTGTCGTTTCAAAAAGAAGACCTGGTCACTTGGTTCGAAGACATCACAGAAAGGGAGAAAAGTGAAGTGCAAATAATAGCGGAATGTTACGCGAGAACCACGGTGAATATAGCGACAGCTCTCGGATTCTTCTCGAGAATGTGTGGTCTGCAGGCACTGGAGAGACTGGAGTCTGAACATCATTTAGTGACGGCGTTGAGCGTAGAATCATGGCCCGGGGTGTTGCAGGTGACTCAAAAACACATCCGGAGCTGGAAGGTTGGTCTTGAGGCGGAAATGGGATTTCCCATGAGCGAAGCTTATGGCTTGCCATTGAACGCGAAATCGCTGATTGGGTCAATGATGGCCAACTTGTGCGGAAGTCACTACCCGCTACACATGGCGATGGTGGAAGTGTCCAGCCAGAGAATACTGGTGGACAAGGCCTTCTCAGTGCCCAAGTGCGTGAGGTTGGCTCGGATGTCGCATCACTCGCACAAGTTGTTGAGAAAAATCAAAGGGACAGTACCAAAAGAATTGAGAGATGACTTAAGCGAAATCTGGGGAGAAGATCTTCTGAAGTTGGAAAGAGAAAACACGAGCGATCACGAGAGACAAAACGTGATCGGGAAACCTGTGGGAAGTACTCCGAACCTGGAAGACAACGACACGATGCACGAGAAAATGATGGAGCTTGAGCCTCTCTTGGAAGCCTCAGGGGAGCGTAATCTCAGGAGCATTGAGATCTCTCATGGGGAATGCCCATGCCACTGTTTGGCACAAACGGTGTGGTATCCAGATCACAAGAACCTTTGCCTGGTGTGGGATGTGGAAGAGATTCGGTCGATCGGACTACCGGATCACCGGCAGAAGGTGACGCTCTTAGTAGTGAGTACGATGTTAGCTCTGAGATGGATAGAAGAGAATATAACGAAGTATCGGGAGGCGACGACGCCAACGGCTGAGTCAATATACGCGATAGACTACAGCAGGAGACTCGAGTTGTTTGAGACTGCGTGCAAAGTATTCGCCATACCGACGGAAGTCAGGCACGTATGGAGTCGCTTGAGGTACTTTCCATGGTTTCGGGCGACACTGACGTCTTGGTTGTACATGACAACGAAAGATCACATGAGAAAACATCAAAAAGAGTATCGACAGTTCCAGGCCGAGATTGGGCCGGAAGCTTTCAAGAGACCCCTGCTAACCCATCGTAATGCGATCACGACAGGATGGAAAAGAGTGGGTAAGATGTCTAGAGACAATACCAAAGCGAGGGAGTCGATACTAGAGGAAGACCTGGCGAAGAACGTGAGCTTGAGCCTGCACAACTCCTTTTGCTTGAACCGAGAAGCTAGGGTGAAGGCACTACCCAACCAAGCAAAGAGATTGCAGGAGCAGAGAGAATGGATGCGATCCTATGAACAGCTGAAGGCTTGGGAGGAGATTGTGATTAGTTCCGATGATGAAGAGAAACTGTTGAGACAGTTTGCCGCATCTAGCACTTCAGGATGCAGTACCTCCAAGGCGAAGAGTACGAGATGAATGGGCAAATCGGATGGATCTTGAGTCTTGAGAGGGAAGGGGGGCTTGAGCGTGGATCCGAGTGAAACTTGGATTCACGAAAAAGAAATTTTAACAAAGCAAATATTGTTACTAATATACTATATTTATTATATAAATCGAAATGCTGCATGACAATTTCCTGATTGAATAGGACAAAAGAGATTTTAAAATGATTGGCTTGAAAAGCGAAAATTCAAGGGTGCAGGTGTATGCAGATTTTGATTGCTGTTTAGCAATAGTGTGAAAATTTTAAATGGCTGTGAATTTTGGGGTGTAGATAAGCTTAAATCTGCTGCAAACTTCTTTAAATGACCACTGGCACTGTATCTTGAGCAACACTCGGTTTTTCTGGGACTCACTGGCAGAAGACAGCGCGCGATGAGGACATCGATCTCGAGTCCGGGGAGTATGTGCCAGTCGGTCATATTTGGAGGTTTGACCTTGAGAGAAGAAAAAAACGCTTGATTTTGGAGTGAAATTTAATTTTTCAAAATTTCGAATGGAACCTGTCATGCACGATTTTCTCGCGAGAACTGAAAATCAGAAAAAGAGATCAGAACAATTTCAGAACAATTGAGTAACAATCGCGGGAAAGTTGCTAGAAAAATCGGTGGGAAATTGCTATTCGCAATTTCGAAAGCAATAATAACCTAGAGTAGAGCTGTCCCATCTGAAACAGAGACGAGAGCATTCCCACGAGTTGGATTATCACGATTGGAATACCATTATTGACTGGACCAGAGTGAACCTTCGGTGGAAAGGTGGACAGCTAGAGTGTCCCAATGGTTCACGAGAACTTGCAGTCTAGAGTAAAAACTTGTTCTTGTTGTTAAAACTGACTAACATTAAACTCATATTAGTTACTTTATTAATTCTTGAGTTGTTTACCGACTTATTTACTTCCTGGCTCTTGAGCGTGCTACAATGTGAGTACTTAATTTAAATTCCTAGAGTGTGTTTTATAATTGTTATGTTGAGGTAAGGCGAGTTTTAGGTTGATCCATCTGAAATGGATCAAAGTTCCACTGTCTAATAAAAAGTAACTTAACGGATTGTTCCAACCCGGTTTTTAACGGCGTTCATGTATTTTGGGTATCTAGAGACCTAAGTATGGGGACGTTTCTAATTCTAGAGTGGGGGATATTTTAGTAGTAGCCTTTAAGCTGTAACGGGTCGTAGTCTCATGTCACAAGCGAACCGAACTGGCTCCGACCGTTCTTGAGGTAGAAAAACACAAGAGATGGTGTCCCTGACCCTTGAGCCAGTGGTTATAGGGCCTATTTTTCTTAAGCCTCATGTGTGACTGCAGTAGACGAATGTTACATTTTGTCCATTCTGGTCGAATGTCACAGTCATCTGCCTTCAACGATACTCCTTTTCTCACCACTACACGTGGGCTTTCCACATCATAACACCCTATTTAATAAGTTTATCACAACAATTAGGCTAATCGATTTTATTCTTTAGATAGAAGAGAGATCTGTCGATAGTTCTCGACCTTTGATTTGCTACCTTTTCTTGAATGAAGGAAAAAGCACTAACTAGCAGTGAAATGTGTAAATAATTGGTTTTTTGAAGATGATTGTTATTGATAATACAGACGCCCTCAGAGATTGGCTGGTGGAGGAGTTGGAGCCTATTTGTGATGCAGACCCAGGCGTTCTAGCGAAATACATTCTTGCCCTTGTTAAGCGAGACAAGGATGAAGATGTTTTGAAAACGAAATGCCTTACTTCACTGGATGTTTTCTTGGCGAAGGAAACTCCTGCGTTTGTTGACAAACTGATTCACACTTTAGTTACTCAGGCTTATATTCAAGGTAAGGTCAGATCATATTAGTGAAATGCATTTTTAAAATTAAACTATCTCTTCAAAGGCATTCTTGAAAAAGTCAACTAAGCAACTTCATTTTCATTTTGTTTCATAGTGGAAGTGGTAAAGATTACACTGAGAAAATTTTCAATTTTAGAGGAGTACGACCCGACTGATTGGTCTGGAGTTACGTCAAATGTAAAAGAAGAACCAGAAACAACACTTGAGAAGGACGAAACTAGCAAACAAGCCGAGACAACAGAGACGACCGAGCAAGAGAATAAAGAAATCGAAGCCAATGAATATGAAGCAAATGGCGATGACAAAAGTACTCCCGAGAATGAAAAATCAGCGAAGAAGCGCGATCACAGTTTATCAAGTATAAGTAGTGCAAGTGAACACGATCGAAAATCTAAAAGCAGATCGAAGTCAAACTCAAAAGAGAAAACATCAGTGAAAACAGCAAGAACTAAGAAAAAACCAGTTAGACGGCAAGTTGTTGATGACAGACCGAAACGTAAAAGAAGAAAAGATGATAAAATACTAAAAAAGAAGAGGAAAGATAAGCCTAGAAAGTGTCCTGATTATGAAGAAAAAGGTTTCTGCAAGAAAGGTGATTCATGTCCATTCGATCATGGGTCTGATCCTTTCAAAGTTGACAAACTGCCGACTGAGCCGTTCATTTCGCCCATGTTTCCAAATCCGTTCACGGCTTTTCCGCCTCCCCCTGGGATGCCATTTCCTTTCCCACCGCCTGGTTTGATGAACATGCCCCCTCCTCCTGGCTTTGAGATGATAGCGAAGTCGCTTCCCTTCCCCCTTCCAGGAGGCAACGGGTTTCCTCATATGCAGCAGAATCATCAGCAAAATCAGAACGATAACAGAGCACCGAAACGCCAAGCTAGCGATAACATTATATCTCTAACCCAAAACCAACCCAGAATGTACAACAATAATAACCAGAATAAACGCCCGAAGTTTACTCCATGGAATAAAGGCAAAGGTAGTCCTGATAATTCGACATTAGAGCTCAGAAGAATCCCCCTGGAACAAAATACAGAAGAAAAGTTGAGAGAACACTTCGAGAAATTTGGTGAAATAGAATCTATAACAGTAGGAATTAACAATGATCAGCAAGCTGCAATTGTCAAGTTTACTACTCATAATTCCGCCAGAAATGCTTGTTCAGCACCTGAACCAGTGTTCAACAATCGGTTCATTGCTGTGTTTTGGCACGCTGGAGGAAACGCTAGTTTGCCCACGATGATGAACTCTAGTAACGGAGGTCAAGTGGAAAGTCAAGGTCAAAATGATGGAGCGACCAATGGAAATGCAGATCAAAACCAGAACTCGGCAAGTTATTCAAACTGTGTATGGCGCTCTGTGATCTACTTTTAATAATAGTTACGCATGTCATTAAGCTAGTGAAAATAATCTTAGTCCAAATCGGTCTCAAAAACGGAGAATATCAGCTTACCTGCAGACTCGTATACTTTTTACAGAGGCAAACGCTTGTGTTTTAATCCGGGTTCACTTTGTTCCGACCTTACTTGCACAAATTAGTTCTCAGTTTAACATTGAGTTTTGGTGGCAACTTCAGTAAGTTTATTATCCGAGATGATGAATCGCCTAATTTTTAGTGTTAGGTAATGTATGAACTCAATCAGGCGACTATAACAATAGTTTAGGCAGGAAGACGTTTGATTCGTAACACGGACGCATGTCTGCTGTATGATTCTTTTAATCGGCTATTTCGTTTCATTTTTTTGGTTCATATTAAATGCCATTTTTGCTATGTGCAGCCTAGCCTCTCTATGATTAATTTCAGGTCATTTATTACCTAACTTGTACGAAATAATTTCGGTTAATTTCACTTGCTTTAGTGTTCATGTTATCTGCTTTTTTGTTTTTTTTTTTGCACGAAATTTCGAATGTTTTTTTTCATAAAAACAATGAATAGAGGTGTACGTCTCAAACAGACTATGATAGAAAAAAAATTTCTGGCATGGAAATAAAAAGTTCATTCAATAGCATCAATATGCCATTTTTTATCAGCTCGGAAATTTTTTCATTTTCTTACAAGCTAGCAACTTTTGTGTTCAAACGTTTTTTCCTTGAAATATGTATGTATATAATGGCGCTTTTAGAACGTTTCCAGATTCAACTGATCAAAAAAGCTCTTAAACTGAAGGAGTCTTTATTCAAAGCTAAAGAATGGCTTGTATCAATTGGCTAATAACTTCATATATTTCAGACATTCCCGAAGAAACATGCAGCTACAAGAGCCCAACGGCTTCTGCTGGCCAAGCAGAGTCAGATGATGGGACAGGCAGGGGGAGGAGGAGGGATGCAGTCCCAGTTGGAAGCACAAGAGGCGCTGAAACAGCAGAAGATAGACTCATCACTCAAACAGATACAAGGTATATGAGTTAGCCATAAGGTATCGTATTCAAAAAGGATCATCTTCTTTTTTACCAAAATAGAGAAAAAAAATGAATTCCGCTTGAGTTGTAATCGCGAAAAAGTCTTTTTTTCCTTTAAGCTACTCTTCCAAATCTTGTAACCGCGAACAAGACTTTCCTTTACACAATTTTTTTTAAAATCTTGTTCTCCGGAACAAGACTTTTTTGCCGTTAAACAACTTTTCTTACAAATATGTATGAAGCATATTCAATCGTTGACATGTCGCAAGTGCCGGCTGGCATGCACAATTTCTTGAAAGTTTAAATAAAACTGCGTGTTTCGTTTTACGTACTAATAAACTTTTTAGTTAAGTTTAATTCTGATCATTAGGCGATGGTTCAGCGTTTTTTGACCAGCACATTGTGTATTCCTTTTCATTTAGCTTGTCTCAAATATACTAAATCCATTTTCTTCCAATAAATGTCCAATAACTGTTTTTGAATGAAGCCTTACTGAAAAAATGTTCAATTTATTCGGATTCTAGTTTTTACTTTCAATTTGTGTAACCATTGATGTTGTAACTAATTATCCTGCTCAAGTTATTTTGTTGCAATTTTCAACGAAATGATGGAATATGGAATATCTGAAATACCACTCTCTTATACCAAAAGGGGAATTGGTGCAAAAAAATGAATTACCAGTTGGATGAAAAGTTTTTTCGTTTTCTCTAAATGGGTTTGTTTAAACGAATTAAATTCAATCAGGAGCTTCAATTAAATTCAAAAAGATTTAACGTGGTTTATCCACTGCAAATTTCGAAATTTCAATTGTCGGTTTTCTTAACAGCTATCATTTTTTTGGCGAGGTTTTTGGTTTTTCTTTTTGGTCAAATTTCTGCAGGCTAACTTTCTTTTTTGGCTAACTTTTTTCCGATTAAGCAATTTTACCTAAATTAAAAGTCCCGTTGAATAATTCCTGGGAGAATGCCGACAATTACATTCCAACATTTTTTGCCCAAATGTTTTTTCTACGATTTAAGAATGTTTTTTTTTACTATTAGTCACAAGAAAGTAATCGGGCCTTTTGTTCTGAGCTTTCTGAGATTATAATCTTTTCTGATTATACATTTTCTTTTAAAAAAAAATTTCTTTCTAAAATCATTTCATCAGCTGTCTGAATTAAACTAAGTCTTGAAAAAGTAAGAAACGTGTTTCGGCTTTTTAAATGGTGTTTTTTATTATTTTTTTTCACATGGTATACCAGTAATATTATTTCCCAATATGATTTTGTATCGTAATCCACGGGAAGCTCCGCTTCGCTTTTGCTTAAAAGTGTGTTTACAAGATACTATGATAACCCTTCCGATAAGCAAGGGTATTGCAAACGGACATTAGACTTTTTTCCCCGTAAAAACCTTTGTTCACAGAGTGGTCAATTGAGTAATTTATTATTTCAAAGGGTCTTTTAAACGACCAACTACATCTTACATTTACTACTAATTTAGAGATCGTAATTTATTTTAAAGTGTTCCATGCTAGTCTTGCGATAGTTTTTTTTCGAAAAGCTTTCGGATTATTTTCAATTTATTGGCTGTCGGCCTTAATTTTGTCGGCTGATTTAGCTAATGATCCTTCTCTACTAATTTTACTAGATATTTAAAATGGAAATAGTGTCAAATTTGACAATTTATTTTCATATGCTTAACATTAACTTCTCCGAAACTTCAAAAAAGTATGGAAAATTTTTTTACGAAGGTAGATGTGTTCGAAATTTTACTGGATTTGTTTGAGTGACATGTTGTGTTGGGCATGTCAAGACCAAGGTCAGTGGTTTGAATCCGGCGAGGACTTATTTTTTTTGTAAACGGAAAATTGTCCACGCGTCAAAAAGTCTTACTTGGACTTCTGTTTGTCGGGTTGTTTTTTGTCGACTTGCCCTGTTTTGCCAAGAGTTTAGGCATTTTAACTGAAATACAAAATTTTTTCAATGTGTTCCGGTTTTAGGAAAATAATAGAGGTCCAAGACGTTTTGTCGATGCTTTTTGTTGTTTTTTGATTTTTTTCATGTTTATTGAAAACTTTTGAAGTTGTTTTCTTTATAAATTCAAGGAGTGTTATGAGCATTGTTGAGACATCAAAGTTGAGACGACAAGTTCTGGACTTTGGATTCAGTCGGGACCTGTTTTTTGTGGAAACGGAAAGTTTTCGACTCTTTTGGATTTTCGTGTCTGCTTATTTTTGTCGGCTAAGGTCCCGCAGAAAGGTTCGATTTCTTTATAGCATTTGAAAGCTTCTAATGGTGCATGTAATTTTGCTCGTTTTTTCGTGCTCTTTTGAAGTTTTTTCTTTTCAATTTTTCATTCGCTTGTAATCAGAGTGATTCATTTTTGTATCGCAAGTGGTGCGAAGTTCAGCTTCGCCTCGATGTTTGAATTTTTGCTTTACAAAAAATCTGTTGTTTTTTTTAGCTCAAGAAGAAGCGCGGAAGAAGAAAGAAGACGAGCGAAAATCAGCCATCAAATTGAAAACAAACCTAATTGAACAGAAACGAGAACTGCTTTCAAAATACGTCGACGAACAGAAAAAACTTCTCAGTAAATTAGAAAAAGGAAAAACCACACTGAGTGCTAATGATAAGAAACTAATTTTGACAACTCTGAAATCCCTAGAAGAATCTTGCGCGAAATTGCGAGATGAAATAGATACATTACTAAACGCAGCTAAGCCAAAACCTGTAGTACCACCCAAACCGCCTCCAGCTGCTAAATTACTATCTTCATCTCCGCTTATGAAACACAAACGCGAGACTCAAAAAGAACTTTTAGATGCTGAATTGGAATTATTGACTGATAAAAATGCGGAGGAAAAGATGCAACTTCAGAAAAGGTTAATTGAGTTGAAGAAGGAAGCTGTGCAGTTGGGGGTTATGGGAAAAGGACGGCCTTCTTTCCCGGGGTCTTCGGCGTTTTCCAGCGGAGCATCGTCTTTAGCAGGAGGAGGTGGTAAGAAAATTTTTCGATCGGAAACTAATACTTTTCTATTGAAGAACCAAAAACTTGGTGTTCAACAATCCAATTAATTATTTCATTGTGACAGAAAATCTTTGTCTGTACTATTGATGCGCTCAATCTTGTTTTTAAATAGGTCTTGCTGATTTTTTTTTTTAGCAAATTCAAAAAAGTCAACATAAATTGTTCTTAAAATAAAAAAACTAACCTGCAATCATTTTTGCGGCTTCCTTGTTCTTTTGCACTTTGGTCAAATTATGTTGTTTTTTCGTTGAATTTTTATGCTGCAAAATTTTTTTGAAAAGTGATATGAGAAATTGCAATGAGTTTTGAGAAAAAAAAAACATCTCATGTTTTAAAAAAAAACAAATCACATATTAGAAGAAAAATTAAATGATTTTCAGGCGTTCCGTCAGGAAGCTCTCACCAATTCAGTTCATTTTTGAACTCCTCATATCCGCAAGTGAGGCACAATGCCCCTTTCCTCTCCCAAGCTATCCAGCAACAACAACAGCAGCAGAGTCTAGCCCAGAGTGGAGTAACCACAACAACAGCAGATAACAGACCGAAGACTATTAAGGCGAGTTTGAATTCGATTTCAGTTTATCCTCTTTAATGTATATGGATATAAATTTAATTTCAGCAGGAACTAATTTCATAATCTATTTCATTTTATTTTCTTTCTTTTAGGACTTGTAAAAATATATATTAATTTGACTAATCCCCGTGCCCTCCACAATAAATTGGAAGAAACTAGGCTGTGTAGTTTTTTGCGCATAATTTATGTATGTTAGATTTCTCAAGGTCTACATATATTGTGACTTGATTAGATTAAATTTGTTCAGTGGTTATGTTTCAATGATCAGTTATGACGCACTTAGCATAGCGGTGAGGCGTTTAGTTTGAGAGCGGCAGATTGTGTAATCGATTCTCTGCAATGGCATTGATATTGTGCGAGAATGAGCTCTCACTTGAACTCATCAGGTGTACCACAGCCTGACCAATTTCGTCTGCAATAGTGGAACCACGTGAAATTTTTGACGCAAGAAACGTCCGTGAGTCGCAAAAAAGATTATCCGTGAAGAGAAAAAGTCTGAATTTTTTCAAAAGTAGGTTAATATACCAATAATTTGATAGTTAACTATAATAGGTTTTGTTTTTTAAAGAAAAAATGTTTGTTTGCTTGCAATTATAAACAGCTGGCCGGGAATAAGTGATCAAAATATTCGCTGGCTTTTACTAACCAATTTCTTAAGAGTCGATGAACATAGTTCAGACTCTTAAATAGGTCGCGATGATTTTTTTTTTTCGTTTTTTCAAAAGTTTTAAAATTTGTTCAGGCTCAAGTTTAAAAGGAAGGCAAACTCCACTATCGAACAGCGAAAGTTAAAAGATAACGAAAAGTGCGATCGACTTCTAGTTGCGAAAGTGGAATTAATTATTTAGATTTCCCAGCGAAATAATAATTTTATTTATTGATCCAGTGTTCTCAAATTGGGTTCTTTTTATCAAAAAAGCACCAATCATACATTGTTGTAGAAATTTAAAGGGCTTTAAGGCCATCTGTTTTTCTCTGACATTTTTTCAAAAAACAAGTCAGTTATTTTTTCTGCTTACTTGCGTTCATTGACTCTTCCAACTGTCTGTTGGTTATCTTTTCTGTTCCAATTTTTTGCTCGATCTCCTTGAGCAACCTAAACGGTCAAGGATAGTTTTTTAGGATAATTCTACTTTTTCTTGTGATCGAGTGAGTTAAAAGTTGATCACTGACATCGGAATGAGTAGTTTTAGATTAATTAACTTATTTCAGATTCGTTACCTTGAAAGGATATTGCCATCAATTTGGCATTGACCATGAATCTCTTGTGACGTCTTCTTGTTATCGATTCGGTTCAACGTTGTTTCGATTGTAATGAATGTTTTCAGGTATCCGGCTTCGATCTGGACGAGAAAGATGAAGTGATCCTCCACTTCTCCAAACTGGGAAAAGTGGAGTCCAAATGGGAAGAGAATGGAGTGCTCTACTTCGAGTACAGAAACAGAATAGACAGTCTAAATGCAGCTCAGAAGGGCTTCAAGTTCAAGAATAAGACACTCACTGTCCATTGGCATAGAGGCGCACATAGAAACTCTTCGGCTAGTTTGGGTACGTTTGGGTGTCATTATTTTTTTTTTGGTTGGTATTTTTTCAGCAAATTGAGACTTATATTATATGATTAAGTTGTAGTATTTGTATGTTTAATTTTATTAGTTAAATGGAATAGAAATTGGAACAAAGGGGCTCATAATTAGCGAAGTTCGACGAAGTTGTTAAAAAGCCAACTATGTTTGAGTAGTAACATCATTGACATGAGAAACGTAGCAGAATTATCAGTGAGGTTATAATTTTACTTCAACAATTCCGTCATCTCTTCTGAAGTTGAAGGACCGCTCTCTTTATGAGCACAATTTCTCACCTGATTAAAATGATTCCTTTTGTCTACATGTCAGAATTAGGTTTTTGTTGCGTGCTAGTTCATAAAGATGTTTAAACGCTAACAAAAAGTTTTTTTTTACTTAAATGAAACAACTTAATTGATTAATGTAGTAATGTTGTAAAACAACATAACTTAATTGATTAATGAGTGGTCTTTTGGATTTTCTAGTAGCAACCAATCTGGCTTTTCATGAGTCCATTTTCAAAGTTTGTATTTCTGGCTTGAAAATAAAAGTATTATTATAGTTTCCTGTTTTTTTTCGCAGATGACTCAACGAGTTCGACCTTGAACTCGAGTAACCCTTTGAACAGCAGTCTGAACGCCAACTCAAGTTACCTCAGCGGGTCATCCCCAGGAGCGATCACAAACACACACGAACTAGCTAGAGCGAGGATGGAGAGCAGAGATAACAGTTTTTCTGCTTTGATGACAGAAGACGACGAAGAGGAGGCTGAACGGCTGTGGAGGATGACTGCTAATGTGTCTTATTAGCCGAATAGTGGCAATTTTAGAAGACCACTGTGCATTTAGCCGAAAAGTATTCCAAGAAGCAGACTATTGAGCATTTAGCCTAAAAGAATTTCAAGCAGCAGACCATTACGCTATAAGCCTAAAAGTATTACAAGCAGCATTTCATTACGCATTTAGCCGAAAAGTATCCACGTGGAAGCGAATTCTACATTTCAATGGATTTTCATGAGTTGAGCCGAAAAAAAAGTACATTTGATTTCGATTTCAAAAATCAGATGAGAATGTAACTTTTTTGGCAGAAATTACAAATTTATTAAAGAGTTTACCATGAAGAAACGATATCGAATTACTAGCTGAAGAAATCTTTCAATTATAGCTGAAAGATTAAATGATATTAACTTCAGATGCTGGTGCTTCCGCGAAAGAATACTTCGAAATTCATTTTTTCAACGATCGTCAAGCGTCTTTTCCTAATGATCCGAAAAAACTTTTAGTGCTGATCTTCGGCAACTGTATCAGCATTTCGCTTTTCATGCTATCTGGTTAATTTGGGTTTGTTAGAAGAATTTACACGCGATTTGAGATAAATTATGAAGAACTCTTAACTTGTCAATTTTCTTTTATTTGAGTTTCATTTCGTTTATGCTACTTGGTCACTTGTACACGTTCATTGCTGTTGTTATTGTTGTTATTCTCTCAAATATATCTCAAAACTCGCCTGGAAAAAGATAACAAACTGGGTGATGAAAAAAATAGAACAAAAAATAGATTGTATGGATATTAATTAATTCTAATCGACATTGTTTTTCCAAGGTTACTGCGACAGCAAAGTGTAAATTCATTATGATCAAGGAAAAGATTTTTGGGGCGTTTCTGGATTTGTACGTACTCCTACTACCGACTAAAAAATAATATGTTGTGCGTGAACCATTGATTTCTCGAGGTTGTAGAGGAAAAGCAAATGAGTTTGGATTTGTGGGGAATTGGCATTTGAACATTCGAGCGATATTCTTGTAATTTTTCTTCAGAGAAAACTGCCGTTTTTTGGGGAACGGTGAAAGCTAAAAGTCTTGATTGACTGCTAGCAACTTGTTAAGGACCAAACAATTGGCGGAATTTAATCAACAAATAATGTTTGCTACACAAAAAACAGTTTACATGAAAAAGTTGGCTTAGTGTCGAGAAAAACTCCTGTATCTACCAGCAAAAGTGTAAAGTTTACCAAACAAGATCGACGTCTAGTTTCGAAAGGGGACTTTTATTGTTAGATATCCCGGTGGAATAAAAATGAGCTCGTTTTCTCAAATTGGGATGTTTAAGCCAAAAAGCGGCGGTCACAAAATTCGAAGTTTTAAGAGCAAATATGTATTTTAAATATATATATTTATTTCATATATATACTGCTCTGAGCTGAATTCCCTGATTTTGTTTTTGAACGAATATTTCAGGCTAAGAAAGATGTTCATATGTAGTTTCTCTTCAGATCTGGTATGATGATCTCTAAAAGCTCCTGCCAACAGCAACAACTGTGCAATTCTGTATAGCTTATTTCGAAAAGTTTAAACACTTTCTTCTAAGGCAACTATTATAACCCGATCTTCTTATTCTGAACATTCAATCGGAGCTCAAACTTAAGCGGTTAAGCAGCAAACAGATTCTTATTCTTTTTCAGTTATGCTAAAATAAGCTCACTTTGGATTCAGATTTCTGTTTCGATGAAATAATCAATCGATTAATTGGGCTTTACTGGCGTTTAGTTTTCTATCCGGTAACATCCATTAAAACGAATGTCCAACTTTAGAAATAAATAGCTTGTTCTATGTTATGGCAACTATGAGCGCTGATGTTTCCGAAATAACATTTAATGATCACTCATTATGTAACGGTCACTGTTCTTGTGATGATTCGACTGATGTTAAAATTGATGTAAAAATGGGAGATAAAAACGATGACGAAGATTTGAAAAGTGAACCCATTTTGACGCCATCGAACAAGAGATTTGTGGTCTACCCTATAGAGTATCCAGATTTGTGGCAGCTATACAAAAAGGCCCAAGGTAATTTTCGTGTAAACAAAGTAGCAATTTAATTAGTGTATCGTTTTTTTAATGAGCTGAACAAAGAGGAAGTTATTCAGCTTTGGTTAAGTCAAATTAGATGCAAATTCAATGAAAATATTGTATAGAATATGGGGGAGGGGTAGTCTGTGAAATATTGTTAAATCATTTTTATTCATTATGTGATTTTTTTGTTTCACGATCATTCTAAGCAAATAAGTTTGCTGTCTTTCTCGGAGTTTTTTTTATTAATTACTGGTATTCTTTAATAGACATTCAATTTAGCAGTCATTACCGCACTCTATTTAGTAGTCAGTAACGCAAAGTTTTTATTTATTTATTTTTTCAGCCTGTTTCTGGACTGCAGAAGAAGTCGATTTGGGAAAAGATCAGTTCGAATTACTAAATGTGAGTAAAAAAAATTTTTGCCCCTTTTTTGTTTTTACATGCAAAAGCAAGTAGTTAAGCTTGTGTTCTTTTACGAGGCTAATTTTTCCTACCAAAATTGCTTCCTTTTGCGTTGAGTTGTTATTTACTGCTAAGTTTCTACCTTGTACGGTTCAAGATTTTATGTAGTCGAAATCAATGTCGGGGGCGGTAAAAGAGCAGTCGCAAACGGCATCTTCACCTCTGGGCTTTACCCCCCCCCCCCTCTCTCCCCTCTCTTACACCACCTGGGGTATACAGGCTGATTAAGCTAATCCAAACATCTTTTGCCCCATTCCCTAATAAGAAAAAACAATTCCTTAGATCATGAAATTGATGCTTAAGTGAGTACGGGAAGAAAGTAAATAGAGCCCGCTTCTGTGTTAAAGTTAGATGGTTCTGTTTTAAAGTTATTTCGTGCTTATTTTTAGCCCGAGGAAGTGCAGTTTGTCTCTGTGGTGTTGGCCTTCTTTGCAGTGAGTGACGGGATAGTGATTGAGAACCTAGTGAGTCGCTTCTCACAGGAGATCCAAATCCCAGAGGCCAGATGTTTCTATGGATTCCAGACAGCAATAGAAGTAAGAAGCCAATACTAAACACTTGATTGTTGTGATAGGGACATAGATTTTTCGTTCTGATCACATATTGGGAAGGAACATCGTAGTGGGATATTTTTTTCAGCTAAATGTAGGTACGACTAAGACAAAGATATATCACATTGAAGTCCTTTCAGTCGTGAAGTTGCACAATCTTGACAAACGTTTTATAGTATGGAATGAATAATATGATATATTCATAAGTCCGAATTTTGACCTTAATTAAGACAATTAAGGGACTGCATGACTACAAAAGAAAGCATCTTGCATAGCTCGAGAATCGTAGGTTTGAGTCCACTTCGATCCTGGTCGGAGGGTTCCCCAAGTCATCCGCTTCCTCAAGGTTGGAACACCTGAACATCTTCGGTAATATGGATGACACTACCGCCCACAGGAAAGCCCTGCAGTGGTAGGGACGGCGTTAACTAAAAAATATCTCGCAAAGCTTTCTTTCGATGTGGTGACGAATTTCATATTTGTTTGCTTAGAATGTGCATTCGGAGATGTACAGTCTGCTGATTGAGACTTACATCAGGGACCCAATCGAGAGGACAAAACTGTTCAATGCTGTCGAGAACTGTTAGCGAGTTTCTTCCTTTAAAAAAATCGTGATCACACTTTTCAATTAGCTCAAAACTGTTTATCAAAACAACTGTTTATGATTGGTCAATTTAATATGCGTGATAAAGTTATTCACAATTAAGTTTTGATTTTTCGAAGTTTGGTTGATTTTCAACTTCTGTTCATTTTGTCTGTTGAAAGGAAGGCAGACTCAATCAAAGTGCGTTTTCAGGGTTTTTTAAATTTTTTCCGAGACAAAAGTGTGAAGTTTTGGCTTTTTTCAAGTATTTATCTTAAATCATTTTTCAATAAAAGCTTTGACTTCCTCTTCTCTATTTTGAATCGCGTTGTTTTTAATGTATCGCAATTCATGCGAAGCTACGCTTCGTCTCTGTGTATCAAATTGCCCCTTAAGTTACAAAGTATTAAATGATTTCCCGAAATTTTATGAAACCTTAATGAAACCTTCCGTTTGGAGTTTCAGGCGCTATAAATTAATATTTCAATTTTTTCTTGGTTTTAAATTAGTTCTAATTGGAAAATTTTGGTAAAATTTTTTATTGGATTTCATAATTTTCAAATTTAAAGCAGAATTTCACCTGCGTTTCAAGGCTTCTAGCGAGAAAGGGGTTTTCTCAAATCTTTTGTAATATTTTCTCAAATCTTTTTTTTTCTCAAATCTTTTGAAACATATGGTGGATGTTCAGCAAATCGCCATATCTTGAAGCCAAAATTACATCAGAATAACGTAAATTACATCAAAATTACATGCATAAGAACAGTGACAATCTGCTGTTATATTGCATAACAATATTAGTTTTTCGCATTTTTGAAATGATAGTTTGTTTCACTCTCAGCTTGTTAGCCGGTGGTTTGATGGCCTACCATAAAATATATAGATGCACTTAGCTTATTGGTAAGGCATTCACTTCGTGGTTGTCGGATCGTGTAATCGATCTGCCATTGCAAGGCTAGTGTGCGAGAATGAACTCTCTTTGACCTCTAGCTTCAGGTCTACCTCAGCCTGGCCGATTTAGGCTGCAATAGTGGTACCACGTCAAAGTTGTAGACGCTGAGAAAACGGTCTTGAGTAGCAAAAAAGAGCTCCTTTTAACAACAATAACTCAGTCTGGAATGTGGGGAAATAAGAGAAACGTACTATGCTTAGACAGGCTGGATAGATTTTAATATATTCTCTGCGAAACGCAGAAACTTGAATGATTATTAAATCGAACACACAAATCTTCTGTTTTGATATACCCTTTTGAACTAATGGAAAGTTCAATTTATTGCAGTATTTTCGAAATTTTAAATTGGGAGAATTTCTGTTTTAGACGAATGTATTAAGCAAAAGTCTGATTGGGCATTACACTGGATTCAGAGCTCAGAAGTAAGTAGGCTTGCTGACTTTTGACACGATTTATTTATTTCAAGTGTCAAGAATCGGCTCGACGGAAGTGTCTAAAATCGGATTATTTTCAGAGGACCTTTGCGGAACGATTAGTGGCTTTCGTTGCAGTTGAAGGGATCTTTTTCTCAGGTGCATTTGCTGCAATATTTTGGCTCAAACGAAGGTGATGTCCCTTTAAATGCGACGTTATAACCACGGCATTTATGCTTCAGATGTTAATTTTATTTTATTTTTTTTTGTTTCAGGAACATTTTGCCAGGGTTGACATTTTCTAACGAGTTAATTTCACGGGACGAGGTAAGGGAAATGTTCATAAAATTTCTTACTGGCGTAATAAAATTCTTTAGAATCTCGTTAAAAATTTAAAGAAGTCTCAAGCTTGCCTTTGATCACCTCGAACATTAAATTATAAGGATGCTTTTTGGTTTCTAATAGCATTCTAACTGAGTTCATTAGCGTGTATCTATGTTGATTATTTTTCACTCTTGAAGAAAAAATACTAGTGGTAATTAATCAGTTGATTTGTGATCAGGGACTGCACTGTGAGTTTGCGTGTGCTCTGTACTCGCATTTGAAGAAACCCGTCGCAGAAGAAACAATACGAGACATTTTCTCACAAGCAGTTCAGATCGAGAAACAAGTTAGCAATTGAACTTTGGCTGTAGAAATTGAGAAAAATACTAGAAAGGAACTTACGAAGATCGATTTAATGTTATATCTAGCGATTTGAAGTGATTGAATTGAAACTTTTAGTAAAGTAGAAAGTTTCATTAATTGAGTAGACTCGCTCATAATTATTCAAATCAGAAAGAGTACATAAAACAGAAAATCGTTAAGGTAATTTTACTTCAAGGATAATTTTACTTCAAGGAAATACTAGCGATGTCAAGAACTAAGATAGAAACTGTTGTATTTTTAAGTGGTGGGTTTCGTTAGGCTACGAGCATCAAATTTAAGATTCAAAATTAGCTGTAGTTTTTTGTTATCCCAATAGCTTCATTTTTTCCAGTTCTTTTCCAGCCTTCTATATTGGATCAACAATTGTAGCTCGCAGAAATCGTTTTTACTTTCTTCGGGGTCCAAAATTTACCGGGACTATAATGAGAGAAAAAAGAGTTCTTTTTTGTTTCAGTTTTGGAGTTTCGCTCTTCCAACTGGGCTTCTGGGTCTAAACAGCTTACTCATGGGTCAATACATCGAATTCGTTGCCGACAAACTTATACTTGAACTCAAGTGTCCAAATAAACTATTCGGCACTCCAAATCCGTTTCCATTTATGGAAATGATATCGATGGAAGGAAAAACAAACTTCTTCGAACGCCGAGTCGGCGAATATCATTCGTTCGGGTTCAACTCGGGAAAAATTAACTCGCCATCTTCGTCATCGGGCAGTAAAAACGAGAAGAAAGATTGGACAACTTTCGAGTTTCGAACTGATTTAGATTTCTGAAGTTTTTAGAACTTAATTCTTCCGTTTTTTGCCACGTTTAGAATTTGGTCTGAAGTATTTGACATGTTGCAGAGCTTTGGAAGATGTCATGAAATCGGTCAATTTTCGGTTGAGTTTTGCGACCTAATTGGCAATTTATAAACAGAAAACTCAAACTTCATTCAATTATTAATTGGATGCTTTAACTCGGTGGTGCAATCCGAAGTTAAACTAGTTGCTATCTCTCATACCTCAAATAGAAGCAGTCTATAAATGAAAATAATTCTCTTTAGTTTCTTCAATCTTCCTGTTAAATCTACAAAGAAATTATAAATTGTTATAAATGGTTTCACATGAGATCAAGTACCCAAAATTTACCTTTAGTTATTAATCAGTTTTCACTCATTGGGATTTTTTCAGCAATTAAGTGTTAATGAAGGTATTGAAGACTCTTATATAGGCCGTAATTATTTTTTTTTCAAGAAAAAATCTCAAAATTTGTTAACGATCAAACTTGGCTTTTAGCGACTGACTTTTGGTTTCTTTTCAAAATCAGTTCATTTCTTTTGTTGAAACGAAGGCAAACTCCATTATCGAATACCAAAAGTTTGAAAGGTCATGAAAACTGTTATCGACTTCTTGTTTCAAAAGTGGATTTTAATTTAAGATTCCCAGCGGAAAAAAATCCTGTTTAAGGGCATATAATTTATCTAAGGGTATGTAGTAATAATTTATTTTCATGGACTCTTTTCCAAATGTTGGCTGTTTCATCTTTAATCCTGATAATCTGAACTAAAGCATATTATATGCAAGGACCTCACTTCACCAACTTACGAGCTTCCCTAACTTAAATTTCAGACGCGTGGTATGTAGTAATAATTTATTTTCATGGACTCTTTTCCAACTGTTGGCTGTTTCATCTTTAATCCTGATAATCTGAACTAAAGCATATTATATGCAAGGACCTCACTTCACCAACTTACGAGCTTCCCTAACTTAAATTTCAGACGCGTTTCTCCCAACTATGCGAACTTTGTTTTATGCAAGTCACGGACAGCTTCGCCCCCATAAAAGACTACAATAGGGTTTAGAATAAAAAACCAAAATTAAACAATAAATTAAAAATTTGATTTCTAAACGAAACAAAGCACACCAAAAGTGAGTCCAAGAGCAATGCAATGAAAATCTACAACGCGGTTGAAATCTTAGGGCAAAAATTGAATAAAAAAATATAACAGTCGAAGGAAAGTTATTATAAATCAAAGTTTGTTGGTTGCATTGGAAACTCATGTCAGACCTATAAGTTATTGAATGAATTGGCTGGGGAAAAAAATGATCAGAGCAATATTCCCATGCTCAATTCCTGTGTTCATTCCAGTCCTACTTCCCTATCTAGCGATACTGCTGAAGCTTTCAATCGATTCTTTGCAAACTTTGTGTTAGAAGTTCAAAAAAACGGTTGAGTTCCGCACACCAGTAATTACAAGTATTTGTTCAAAAACAGTTCTTCTATATCATCAGTAATGAAAGTAGGTAATTTTTTCTTCAAATTTACTGAATAAGTTATCATCGGGTGGTCGATGTAAATAACATTCTCTTGAAATTGTAAAAACATGTAACCGTCCATCTTTTAACCAATTTTATCAGTCAATCATCGAAACAAGGAGTTTGTCCTCATGTTCTCTCGAAATCTAAATTTTGACCACCCCATAAAGAAGGATCAAAAGCTAAAGAGGAGCAGTGCAGACCAATTTTCTCTTAATAGTATGGAGTGAAATTTACGATAGAGTTGTTTTCAATCGGGTGTATGCGATCTTCGAAAACCTATCCCTTTTCTCTTGCAAACAATTTGTTTTCCGCAAGAAACATCAAACAATAGACGCAATTTCCAAGCTAACTGAAAGTTTCAGATTTAATAACAATTATGAAGTAATAAATTTTTTCCTTGGTTTGAAAGCTTTTGATACTATTGACCTCGAGTTGATGTTTAAGAAACTCGAAAGTTATGGTATAGTTAACACTTTACTTAAATGGTTCGAAAGCTAATCATCGAATCGCTTGCAATGTGTCAAATTAGTGGATGCCACTTCATCTTGGCTTAAGGTTGAGTGTGGTGTGCCACAAGGGTCTATACTATGACCACTTTTGTTTTAAATCTACATAAATCATGTGCCTCAAAACTGTCAAGTTACAGACATTCGAGTTGGTTACTCGTCCCTTATAATTCAAGAGGAGTTAAATTGATTTTTTTTGGTTAATTGCCGACTAGCTCAAGCTGAATTGAAAAAACTGCTAAGATATCTCTAGGATTTTGTGCTGCAACAATGCTCAATTATCCGTTTGTTTTAAATAATCATTGTGTAGAAAATTAATTTTCGTGCAGGAATTAGGAATAACAATTGATCAACATTGTTAGTTTAAATGTCATGCTGTCTATGTAGTACAGAGACTCGGAAAACAACGTGGAAACAAATTCAAACTAAGACATTTTGTCCCAAGATAGCAACTTCTCAATTGTTATTATAGCAATGCATCGTTCAAATATCAGGTTGCCTATGTAGTTCAAAGACTCAAAAAACAACGTGGAATCTTAGTAAAACTGAGACAATTTGTCCCAAAGTCGCAACTTCTCAGTTACTATAATATCATTGTAAAATCTATCATGCAGTATGGAGCCCTCATCTATGGATACTGTAGTTTCTCTACATTGAAGCCAATTTATCTGCTGCTGAAAACAATCGAAAATTCATCCACATCAGAAAGCGAAACGATACATCTGAAGACCTTTTCAGGTGTAATAATTTACTAACTATATACTAATAACATGTATTTGAGCTACGGATTTTGCCTTGCGCTCATTAAATCAGCTTCATTCAGAATGGATTTTGAATGATGTTTCCATTTGAAAATTCTGCGCGGAGGACTAGGCGTTTTATAAACAAAATAATAAAAGTTCCTTTTTGTAAACGCTATCTCGAAAAACACTCCTTGAGTTATAGAAGTGCCCTACTACATAATCTTTTCAGGAAAATCGGAGGTCTATCTGACGCCTCAGATTCCTTAACTGAAGAACAAATTTAATAATTGCTATCACGATATCAAAGTCGGCTACATACTCAGCAACAGTGAACTAACTCGAAAAAGTTTCTCGATTATTTAAAAACCTACGCTAAAAACTTAGCAAAAACTTAGTCAAAACAGCTAAATTTTGTTATTAAGTCACTCATAAGAGTACATTGATGTTTCTCTTGTTTTTTTCCTCGTTTAGTTTTGCACTTGTACTGCCATAATTCTTCTGACAGCTACAAATCGTGATTGTGCCTAAAACTTCTCTTTGCCTAAATGTCTCAAAAATTTCTGAGTGAACAGAAATTGGAAAAACGAAAAAAAAAAACACTTGATATTGGTACTTCAATAAAAGTCCAGTTTTCTGTTCTCTCCGAGTATTTTTCATGAAGTAAGATGCTAGTCTTTGTTTTGCTGTTACTTTTGTTGAAACTTCTTACTTTGAAATGATTTGGAGAAATAAATTTCTTCCTTTCTTATTTCTCATATAATACAACGGTTGACCTTTTACCGAGCTCTCAGTCGTTTTGCAAACGCGTAAAATTCCGACCTATTTCTTCCAACTATGTGAAATTCGTTTGTTTTTCTGATTCCGAAGCACGACCACGTTAATACGATACCACAATTGACCCCATTAGGAGCTTAGACCCATTTTCAAAACCGTAAAGTTAAAGATCCGTTTTCCCGACTACGAACTTTGTTGATTATTTTTGCATCGTATGAATGTTTAGCATATCTAGTCTGATACCGATTATAGCCTTTTAAACGATGGAACTATAGAAATATAAAAGTTCCAAAATTTGCCAAATTCTTAAATAGAAATTTTTGGATTGCAAATTTACATTTAAGTTATCACCGTTGCGCTATCAGGTCACTTCTCAAAAAAGAGGAATCAACAAAGCTTGGCTTTATTTGGTTGAGCCAGCGATGGAGAGTGTTCAGCCAAATGCAGTGGAATTTGCGTTAGAAGCACGTAATAAGTGAGCTGTTGTGTATTCGTATACTGCGTAAAACAAATTTAAAAAAATCTGTAATCTCGTGTAACGTGTACCATACATTGCCCTGTGCTATAGATCCTTCAGGCTTCGTGAAGTGGTCGGCAAAATAAACAGCCGTATTTTCATCCAGAAGTGTATGTTTTTTTTTCAAAACAATTATGTCACCCCCCCCCCCCCCCCCCAAAAAAAAATATGTACCTCAGTTGTTTTCCATCATAAGGCTTGTACAAAAATGTTTTTTTTTCTGGCCGTATTTGCTAAATAAGCTATGAGAAGTTCAAAAGTTTTGGGTTCTTATCCGACATAGGAAAATAGCTTGAAAAATTAAAGAAACTAAAATTTTCAGACTCTCCAATTTCCGGAGAGTAAATGAATTGAGCTGAAAAGATTACCGGTTTTAATATGGGACTCGATAAATTCGAGGTTAATCGAAAAATATAAAATTTTGAAATTAAACTACAGATTATCTTTTAAATTTAATAAAATATAAAGTTGTGTGTGCTTGTGCGTGCGTGAGTCTGTATGTTACCAATTTCCTAGAAGAATGCTCGTGCAATTGTGAAACTTAACAAGTATCGGCAAATGAAAGCAAGGATAGACGGTTACAAGTAGCACAGAATGTTCCGACCATATTCTTAAAAAAATTTCAAATTAGTGTCGTTTTTTCAGCGTGGTGTGATCAAAGAGATGAAGCAAAAATCTGAGAATAGGCCTATTCGTTAGCCAGAGTGAAATTAAAAAAAAACTCAAAAGTAATTTTCTTAAAATGACTAGGAAAACTTTTTTAAAAAACTTTAAAAAATACTTGCAGGTTTTTTTCAAAAGGTCGGAGCAATTGACAGTGTCATGTGTTAACAAACTTTCAATTTTGGGAACTGCTTAGTGCAATTGAAGAATGAACGGTGGACTTTGTGGTTTTTTCTTTGAATTAAATCGGGCATCGTTATTTACATTTTTATAATAATAATTAACAATATCCATTGTTCACTCTCACACGGAAACTTGACTACTGACCGGGCCACAAAAGTTTATGCAGCTACTTATGCATATTGTAAAACAATTTTTATTAATATCTAAATACAGCAGTTGTTTTTTCGATTCAGGCTGAAACTGTCAGTTTAATAGCTACTCATCTCTGGGTTCAACGAAGTAGTTAGAGACGTTTATTAAGGTGAACGATAGAAGGGAGCACACAACATCTCCCAGCTGAGCTGCGATCGATCCATATTTCACCGCATTCTCGTCAATTTCTCTGAGACAGTTACTAGCCGTGCAGAAGAGGAAGAAACCGGAGCTACCTTGAGCAATCCAGAGGAGTATCATCATAGGCTCTGCGAGTTTGTATCCCTGAAGAGGTGGGTGGGGACTTTGAGAGGCAATGAAAATGAGGACGCCACACACTACGACGTGAAGAATGAGACAAATGAGCAAACTGAACATTTTTCTCAGCCTGACAAAGTGAGCAAAGATGGCAGTCAGCGGGAACGAGAGCGCCCAGAAAGATACGGCTAACATGAAACACCTCTGGCTGTAAGGCAATGTCGAGAAGGAGTGGAAGGCTGGCATCAACGTGAAGACGGATCCACTGGCTGCGAACCAGTTGAACCAGAGAAAGTACTTGTGGTTCTCCGAGTAAATGTTGGCCAAGTGCAATGGGGACGTTTCGCTTTTCTCAGTTTCCCCTTCTCTTTCGGTGAGTGCCGAATACTTCGCTTTTCGGTCGTTTTTATTTCGGTATATCAGCCACCCAAGAGAAGCGAAACAAGTAGTGAAAACAAACGCTAAGAACAGTAGAGCAGTCTGTGGTCCAAACACGTAATCTTTTGACAAAGTGTCTTTCGAGACTGAATTAGTTGCGGATCTAAAAAACAGCTTGTAGCCTTGAATGTAGGAAATGCCGCTGGCGAACACACCCCCACATGCATCGCCAATCAATACTGCAGTTATGAAGGACTCAGAGAACATGCTTGTTGCCAGCATGAAAACCAAAGTCATTCGAAGTGAGTCCAAACCCATTAGACAAAAGGCATTTGCTAAGAACCCGATACTAAGTCCATCGGGGAATAATTTGGTCGGTCCTATTTTTTGGTCCCATGAGAAACAAATAGAAATACTAAGAAGAAAGCCAAGCCCGTAGCAGATAAGACAGGCGGTGATGATTCCTCGCTTCAAAAATAGAGGAAGTAGCAGCAAAGAAGAGGTGGAAAGACCTTTCATTAGAACGAGGAAGGAGCCGAGTCGCCATCCTTCGGGTAAAATTGGCACGAGAAAAGGTACCTCAACGGTTAAAGCATCGCTCCAAAGCCAAATACCAACCGATGCTAGAATCAGAAGGAAAAAATTCAGCTTTGCAAAGAAGGAATCGCTTGATAGAACAGACGACAGACTTTCTGCTGCACCCATATCAGCCCCGTTTATGTAAGAATTAGAGTCGTGAGCTAATTGTGAAAATAGAGTGAACTGAATTCTCAATTATAGTCTAAAAGTAATACGTTAAGGCTTCTGTAGTTTGCTACTTATGTAAGCTTAAAGTAAAAGAAAAATAGATGATGAACTGGTTTATTAGCAAAAAATTATAATTGTGTTCATTGATAACTTGATGAAGTTTGAGTACACAAACTAAACCGCGTCTTACGCAGCGCGCTTTGCAGTTTAACTTTAAAAATATGTTTTGTGTATTTGAGTGAACTGAGCCAGCTTGAACATTCCGGCCACCTTGAAAGGTCTTCGATTGTTCAAGTTGGTTTCAACATGATTGCATATTCTCCATGTAAAATACTTCCTCATAATACCGAAAAAACCTCCTCATTATAAAAATACATCAAAATCAAGTAATAGTAGAGCCGGTTTTTGTTCAAGCACAAATTTCATAAAAAAATTCGTGAAAAAATTACAGCAAAAAAATTTTTTGTGAATTTTTTTGTTCTATGGACATTTGATAGACATTTAAGAATTTCTAGAAAAAAAAAGATTTTTTTTGTAACTGGCAGTTTTACAGAATGAAATCAGATGTTGTAAGATTCTAGGAGCATGACAATGTTACAATATTTTCTCAAAAATGCATAATTTTAAAAATCCACGGTCAACAAAAAGCATGCCTAACGAAGCTGCTATGAAATATATGATGAAAAATTTGCAATTTTTGTAAGAATTGATCACTGAAAAATTAAGCGACCAATGACAAATTTTCCGCGTGATTCATTTCGCATATTGCACGTTATAGTTTTATGTGTGTTTTTGTAGAAGAATCGAAAAGCAAATGCTCGCTAAACGGTCGTCCTAATTCAAATTCTCTCGCGTTGCTTTCTTTCGTTATTTTTCGAAATGCAGATTCTTAGTGACAAAATCAAAGCAGCTAATCTAAACGATATCGAGCAAATTCGTTCTCTTCTTATGGATTTAGCGCAAGATATTGCTGACAAAGACAATATTATATCCTACCTTGAGACGTAAATTAAGGATCTTCACGCGTTGAATGCCATTAAAGACGACAGGATTCTAAAGTTGGAGCGATATTCGTCCGAAATGTGCTTGATTTTTTTGGGAACACAAACATCAGATGACCCATTATCGACTTATTCAACAATTTATGGGGATAATTATCAGGGCGGAAGATATTGCAGCTTCTCATCATCTACCGAGTGCAAATATGAACAAGCCAGTTATTGTCAAGTTCATTTATAATCACCAGAGGGACAGAATTTGGCAAAATAGAGCGTCTTTGAAAAATTATGGGCCTACGAAAAAAGTTTATATTTTGGGACGGTTAGCGGATCATGACAAGCAGGTTATTGAACATTGTAAGCAGGTCAATGTAGAGTATGTTGCAAACAATTGCCAACCTATGGTGCGAGTAGAGGGCGTGCTGAAAAAAGTCGAAAGCAAAAACGATGTTGACATGATTTTGCAGAATGGAAGTGTTGATAACGATGTACAGATGCATGTGTATGGTGGATCTACTCAGGGTGATAGCTTTTCTGGTTCTAAATCAATTACTACGTTTCCTACTAGTGGAGAGAAAGGTAAAACTTTGAGTAAATTTTATGTTCGAAAGCGCAAACATGATAAGGATGACAACAAACTGGACCGGCTATGTAGCTTGTTGGAAACAGTCATTGAGCATGTGTCTCCTCCTGCTAAAAAGGCATAGGCCTACTTGGACCGCAGTGTATTACAGATGATGAGGAAAGTAATGCGGGAACTTAAATACTATTTACTTAGCTTCTTGCTTTAAATTTTCTGTTCTTTTTTGGGTAACCTAATGGAAGCAAATATTGGGGGAAAAGAGAGTGTGCTTAATGTAAGATCACTCAGATTACATCATGACCAGCTATGTGTGTTGGTTGATTCATTCAAAAAAACCATTACTTATAGCTTTATGCCAGACATGGCTAACTGACAATGATTTTTTGGATTTTTTTCAGTTGGATGGGTATCAAAAAGGGGTTTTTAAAAATAGGGAAAGTAGGGGTGGTGGTATAGCTTTTTTCGTCAATACGTGAGTTGAATTCATTCTTCAGGATTTAAATTCTGATTTGGAGTATCTTACCATAACTATTTGGAACAAATTAACTTATTTTAACATATGCACGCTCTATAAATCACCTAATCAAATAAATTCAACATTTCTAGAAAATCTGGATTATCTATTAAATGAACTTTGCCAACTGAAGGAAATCCAGTTAATGTGAGAGATTTTAAATATGATATTCTTTCCAAGGATGAAAAACCAGAAATGTTAAGTTATAAAACGCTTTTAAAGTCTTTTGATTTGGATTTTTGTTTGAGTGAACCAACCAGAGTTACTGAAAAACAGAAGATTTTTATCCGATGACAGTTATCAAAACCACAATAAGTGATCACTATGCATTGTTGGGTGAATTGCCAATTTCGGTTGAAAAGCCTGGCAAAACTGTTATTTATACCAGAAACTTTAAAAAACTGAAGCTTGATGACAACCTACTTAAGTTATTAGTTCTTCTATATGTCGAATTAGAAAAGTTTAGTGATAAGGAATTAGTAAATACAAAAATCCACGGTTTAATGTATTCAATGATTAATGTTTTTGATAAATTTTGTACTTTGAAACCAATTGATTTTACAAAACAATTGAAAAAATCGTGGATTTTCAACAATGTGAAACAAATATGCAAAAAACGGGACGCTGCTCACACAAAATGGTAACACTTCCGAGCGATGAAACAAAAGCGAAATTCAAAAAATTGACAAATGAGGCGAAAAAGCTGATTATGACGGAGAAAAGAAAGTTGTATGACAATCAACTTGGAAGTTGTAATGATTCCAAAAAGTTTTTTCAAGTTTTCAATAAATTTTGTGGGAAAAAGAAATCCAATTCGTGCAAATTAGAGGTGAATGACATGAAGAAATTTTTTGCTGCGATTGGACCCACACTTTCAAAAAACTTCGTGGAGTTTAAATACAACGATAAAATTTCACGAAACTCTGATACTTTTTTTTCTTACCCACTGATGTTGATGAAATGGCGAAGATTATTCAGAACCTGATTAACAAAAAATCGACTGGTCATGATGGTTTGAGTAATGTAATGATTAAACTTTGTGCACCAGTCATTATGAAGCTCTTAGTTGTTTGTTTTAATGAAATATTCGACTCGGAGTCTTTTACTGACGATTGTAAAATAGCGAAAGTGATTGCCCTGTTCAAAAGTGGACGTGAAATTGATTTTGGTAATTACCGACCCATCAGCCTTCTATCAACTTTAAGCAAACTTTTTGCAAAATTATTTTATAGAAGAATGGTCAAATTTTTACAGAAGTGTAAAATTCTTTGCCCTGAACAGTTTGGCTTCAGACAAAAACATTCATGTGTAGAGGCAATCTCACGTATAGTCGAATATATGCGCTCAGTTTTGGAACGAAGAGATAGTGGAATTGCACTTTTTCTAGATTTTAAGAAAGCATTCGACACTGTCGATCACGATATCTTAATCATTAAATTAGAAAAACATGGGTTCTGTTGTAAAATTTCAACATTGTTGAAAAATTTTTTAATTAACAGAGTACAATTTGTAAGTGATGGTATTATAAATTCTTCATTTGAAAAAATAACTTGTGGAGTTCCACAGGGTTCGGTTTTAGGTCCTTCTTGATTCATATCAATGATATTTCAAATGTAACAAAGACATCTGAGATAAGCCTTTTTGCCGATGACACTGCTATTGTTGGTTCTGGTAAAACGAGAGCGTTTTTGAAAGAATTCAGAACAGATACTCAGAGCCTAAATGATTGGTGTAATGTCAACAAGTTATCGATTAATACAGACAAGAGTAAATTGATGGGTTTCGGTAAAGGTATGCCTGATGCCTCAATTTCCATTGCTGGTGAAGACATGGAAAATAAAGACAGTTTCAAATAGTTGCTAGTTGAAATTGACAAAAAATTGATTTTTAGTATGCAGACTGTAAAAAGTTGCACGAAAATTTCCAAATTTAATGGTGTTTTTTATCGAGGAAGATCTTGTTTCTCTAAACCGGCAATAATTAAGTTTTACATTGCATACGTAATTCCACTAATTTCTTATAGCTTATTAGCTTATGGATGTACATCAAAATCAAACCTTGATAAATTTTCTTGGCACAGAAAAAAATCATAAGAACCATTTTCTTCCTTCGAAAGTATGATCAGGTGTCGGAGTATTTTGCAAAATTCCAACTTCAGAGTGTACATGAAATTTTTATCAGCCAATTGTTTTCCGAGACAATTTTTCAGTACCTTGGAAAATTGCCTTTAAAATTTTGAATCTTGATTATGTAAAAACGCGTCGTAGTACTCGGTCGAATAGTTTAGGTTGTATACCCTTACCTTTGAGAAAATCGAAGTAAGCACAAAGTTCGGTATCGTACAAAACTGTGAATGATATAATTTCTTAATGTAAAACAACCTTTTGCCTCTCAACCTTAACGAGTTTACTGACAAACAGAAGAAAGTCTTTTACGTGAAATTAAAAATAGTGTACTTTAATAGTGGACAATCGATTACTTGTTGAAATTTTTATAGGGTAAATTTCGTGTACCCTCATATTTTAACTCGGTTTTGCTTTCACTCATTTATCTAGGTTTCCCTTAGGTTACTGCTAGTTGGGCTGTACTGCCCGTACAGTAACCTTGATGCAGTATTTAAGTACACACATGTGATTTTTATACTGTCTCTAAATTCAAATTCATTTCAATTCAAAACCGCCGGAATACAAAATTTCTTCGTCAGGACAAAAGATACCATACCAAAAGCTACTATGACAAAAGATTCCGTACCAAAAGATCCCATGTACTAAAATTGCCCGTACCATAAGATCCCATGCTAATTACACTTGATAAGCATATTGTATTATTACAAAAAAAAATTTCCAACCTAAGCCGCTAAGATTGGTGCCACTTTTAGGGCACCTTCACAGCGTATTGATAGCACATGCTTTGACATCCGAACAGTAATGAGCTTACACAGTTGATGCATTTTTAATTCATCAACTTAAAAAAAAAGCTTTTTGCTTCAAACAACATAACAAATAATGAAAATCGATTTAAGAAATTTTCTAACTCGCTATATCACGCAATTTTTTAAAATGCAAAATTTATACAAAAT